TCTTTACCTCCTAAGCCACTCTGCCAACAAAATAAATCTGTAACTACCCCACCGGGAAATCGAACCCTGTTCTCCCGCTATGCTAATAAGGACAGCGTTGTTCGTTTTGTGTTTTTCTAGTGCACGTCTGCCACATAGGACAGTCAGAATGCCACTGGGGAGTACCAGAGAAACTTAGGGTCAAGTCTGCCTCTCCCACGGATAAAACCTTCCAGCATCAGGGCTGTGCTCGGAGCGTGGAACACTGATGACGCTTTATACACAGGATGCTAATCCTTACTGTCCCCAGACAGATGACACGGGAAATGGGAGAACAGCATTCAGAACCCAGGTTCCTTAGCTGCTCAGTGCTTTTCCTAGACCCCACAGCCCCCCGCCCCGTTCACCTCTCCCTCTCCAGGCTGGCGTGGCTCTGGTTCTCTTCCTCTCCCCCACTGACTGTGTCCCTTGCTGGGGATAACTTGGAACATCCTCCAGGAGGAGGTGATGGTAGTGTCCACCCTGACAAGATGCTGCCCTGGAGCCCCCTTTCTCTGCCCTGTGATGGTGAGGGGGTTTCTGAGGTAAATTCTAAGTCTTTCAGTTAATCTCCAGTAAGCCAGACTTGAGAGCCAAGAGACAGGGCGAGAGGAGAGACATCAAAGAAGTTGAGAATAGGAATATCTTGGAATTAGGTGCCCACAAGGACAATATGTTAACTGGTTTCCCTGCATAGATTCTTTATTTGCAGTCTCTGGGTCCTACAGAAAACTTTGTCTTGAGTTTATCTTGGGTCTCATAAGGAATGCTGTTTTGCTGCTTAAAGTGATCACATTTCTCAGAATCCAAATCTTATAGAACCAAGTTACAGAATAAAATTTTCAGGTAGATCACGTGTGCTTTGACCCATATACCAGCAACGAGGAGATCCAAAGACAACCAACCAACATCAATCCACACAAGCCTCACACTTTTTTCTCTTGAAGGCGTGAAAGTGCAAATGTCTGAAATTCATACAAAAAACATACCGAGCCCTTTCATCCAGGCAGAGCACAGCACACAGAGGAGGCTGAGCCTTGCTTCCAGCATTGGGTCCTATGGGAGGTGAGTCCACCTGGAGTCCATCAAAAAGCATCAGATTTGGTTCACACCGACGAAGGCAAATTTCCCTTATGGTTCCAGTTCCCAGACCTCACATTCCCTTGAAGAAAACCATCACTCAAACAAAACGCTGGTGCAAATAGTAAACTGCTTATGAAATGGGCATGAGAAGTCCCCACGTCACATACTTCTTACCCCTGTTTTACTCTCGATCATTAGAAGAACCCAACTTCCCAAGTCCTAAGACCATCAAATAAAATACGATAACAAATAATTTTGATGGGCCCAGCATTGTGTAGGTACTGAGAGGAATTCAGGAAAGGGACCTACCACCCGCCCTTAAAGGACTTACAACCTACGTGGGTGTACGCAATTGCTATATGGACTTAAAACAATATTTGTCAACACAGGGAAGCTCAGAACTCTCCAGGACCAAATAAGAAGTGGGAGATTTTTTGTATTTTCAGCAAAAGCCTAAAAGCCTCAAGTACTTGGTTGTGGGGCCAGACAACCCGGGGGAATTACTCTCACCTAAAGTACTGTGCTCAGAATTTACAACACAAGATCCCAAACACACTACTTCATGAACCAAATCAAGTCCTATATTTTCTTTGGGGCTGGTCTCTTTCTCATGTTATCAATCTCTACTCAGCCATGAGTAAAATGGCCAGAAGAAGGTCTACAGTTGAGGGAAGCAAGATAGTTCTGGAGTCTCTGGGCAGTGGCACATTTGGTTCTTGTGCCTTTGACTGGTCAAGAAAGACAGAAATGTACTCGGAGGAAAAATGTGAACTACGGACTGAATTGTTACCTTTGTGTGGCACATTCCCTGTTTCTAGGGCGGCACAGGAGACAAAGAATGCATTTATTTTGTGGAAAGGGAGAGGGGCAGGGAGGAAACAGAAACTGGAGGATTGTGCAATAATGGCATTTTCACATCCCCCAGGGATGTGAAAGCTTGTTTCCAGTCCTTTGGAGGAGCGAAGGAGCTGCTTAAAAACGAGGTGTTTACTGGGGAACCTCAGTTGTGATTCCACTTTTGGCTGCGTGTTCCTCATCCATGGGTGTTCTTGGTACCCCCACCCTTGGGCATACAGGGACCCTGCCCTGAGCAGGCTAATATCCAGAGGAGACCACAGGTCTCAAATAGCAGGAGGTATTCAAATAGAAGAATGTGAACAAGGGTAGAAAGGAAAAGTCACAGCCTGATGGAGCTCAGTGGAAGAAAGCAGTGGTCCCCAGTGGTAGGCAGCCCAGACTGTACTTGTGCAGACGCTCAACCGAGGAAGCTTCTTCTTCAGATGGCTAGTGAAGGGTGACACTAACTAAGCAGTCTCACCAACTCAACATAGTGGTTTTGGTGTACAGACTTACCAAGCAAAGTGAAAAATGCTTCTTTATCCATCTAGGCAGTGGGCAAGTGTCAATATGGCAGCACAGGCTGATTGCAGGCTTTGCATCAGCCTCAACCTCTGCATGTTTTCCTTTATGCCAGGGGTGATTTGATAGGGTCTGGTTCTGAACTCTGGCTCTGGCTGCTCAGTAAATCTTTTTGATGACCAAGTGACATTGCCTCTCTCCTTTCTTGTACTGGAGCCTTAGAGGTGACACAGAGATTTCACCATCAATCTCCATGCAATGATGTCACATTCTCTCCCCACCATCCATTCCTGGGAGTTCTGATGTTTCTGCTCTGAGCAAGCCGTGCAGCTTCATTCCGCTGTCCTTGGTCTTGTCTGTGGGTGTCCACTGTTGTCTAGAATCCTGCTGACGTGTGGCAGGGTAGAGGCTGGCCGAGGAACAAGGTTCATGGTTAGCCATTAAGAATCAGGACCCTGGCACCAGATGGGCCTAGGCTGGCATCTGCCTCCACCTCGTTACTGTGCAATCTTTTTGTTGTCATTTTGTTTTTAAGACCCAGTCTTGCCATGTAGCCCAGGCTAGCCTTGAACTCCTCATCCTTCCTGTCTCCGCCTTCTGAATGCGGGGATTACAGGTCTGTGTCACCACACCCAGCTACTACTATGTAATCTTAATGTCAGGACTCTGAATTTTTTTTTAACTTATTAAATGGGAATCAGAGAGCTGTGAGAAGATTGAGTGAGACTGCACACAGCAGAATGCCTGTCTAAAATAAGCCTTCCACAGACAGTGGTGATTAGGTGAAAGTCTGTCATGGGCCTTTGGCATTCTTGCCTCTGGGAGTACTTTCTTGGAAGAATTATTTAAAATGTTTGTAACTGGGTTGGTATAAAATTAAGTTAATATTATGCAAAAATGTTCATTTAATTTAAATCCTCACTCTTTTCTTCTGTTTTGAAAGGAAGTAACATAATTTTGTGGACCCCTGACAGTATGGTGACTCTGCTATGCTTGTTAGGTGAGACAGCCCTGGGCGGGAGGTGTATTTTGGAGATCCCTTCTCTACCTTGTCAATGTGCTGAGCTATTTTCTGGAAGTTTCCCACTTGACCCCTCAAGATGCTTACTGCCCTTAGATATCCCCCTTCTCCCCAGTCACCAAGGCCCATGCTGTGTGGGACTGTGAGGTCCTCAAACATTGCTCAATAATTTTAAGGTTCATAAGGTACAATCTGTTCAGTGGGTAAGTGAGTGAAGTACTTTGACATCCGTGAGCTGTGCTAACACGTTGGTTCTTGGAGAAGTGCTCCCTTTAGAATATGGTGAACCATACTTTTCTATAAGCTGTAGTTGATGGAGGAGTTACTGCAGTGAGCACTGTGCTAACATGCATTGTCTCCTTTCTTCCTGTGAGGTAAGTGCTATCGGCCTGTTTTCTACACTAGGAAACTGAGGCTCAGCTAAGTGAGCTGCTAAGGTCACATGGCCCTCGGTGACGGGACTGGAATGTGAGCCTGGCTTCACTCCCAGAGTCTAGCTGTTAACACCTGTGCTGAACGAGCCCTCAGCACCTGGGGATTTGGTTACAAGATTTAGAGACAGGCAACAGAAGAAATGAGTCCCCAGGAAACGCCATGCTTAGAGTGTCCCATTCAATAAATGGCAATCTTATGGCTTCTGTGTGTCCAGACAATGTTGCCTCTTCTGACATGGAGGGGCTGGGGCCAGCGAGCATAGAGGCATCCTGGAGTTTCCTTCCTTCCTTCCTTTCTCCCTCCCTCCCTCCCTCCCTTCCCACCTCCTCTTCCACCCTCCTTCACTCCCTCTCTCTCTTTATTTCTTTTTTTGGGGGTACTTGAGTTTGAACTCAGGGCTTCTCACTTGCTAGGCAGGCACTCTACAGCGTGAGCCCCACGTCCAGTCCTAGAGGCACCCTGGATCTCAGGTAAAGTGGTGAGGGCTGTGGGAAGAGCCGAGATGTGCACGGAGTGGAACGGGAACCATATGTGTCTTGTCATCCAGCCTATCATGGCAAGAATGCAAAGCAGCCTAATTACGGGACAAAAAGTAAGATGTGCTCCAGGCAGATGATCTCCTTGGGCTTCAGAACTTTTGTGATTCCTTAATTAAAGGATATCAGTGATACGGGTTTGATTCTGCGAAAAAAGAAACTGGAAATTCTGTGTCACCTTTAGACTTGCAGCGTTTTCCCACTCGACCAGAATGGTGGACTGTTCCGCTGCAGTAGCTCGGGACTGGGACTCCGTGTGTGTGCAGCAGCCCTGCTTTAGCCGGTAATCATTGTGCTCCTCAGTGTTGGAAGAACTCTTCCACTGGCCTGTGCGCCAACCACGGGACTCCTGGTGACCTCTGACCTCCCTGACCCGCTGCCCTGGGAGCCCTTCACTTCATTCCGTTTGTGCTTCTGCACGGTGCTGTTTCTACTGCTTGCTGTGGATACACGGGAGAAACATTTGAACCTTATGCTACTCTTGACTAATAGAAAAACTGCGTCCGTACCTTACACCTTACTTTCTTTTATCCCCTTGTGTCTTTCAGCTCCAGGGATCCTTGAAAAGAAAGCAGGTAGTTAACTTGTCTCCTGCCAGCAGCAAGAGGCCCAATGGCTTTGTGGACAATTTGTTCCTTGATATGAAGAGAATTCGGGTTGGGGAGAACCTGTCTGCCGGGCAAGGCGGCCTCCAAGCAAATAATGGTCAAAGCCAGGTTATGTCTGGGGCCTTGCCTATGAGCCAGGCCCCTCTGAGAAAGAGCAACACCCTGCTACCTCCTGCACACTCTCCTGGCAACAGCGTGTTTAGCATGGGCTTAAAGGAGGTGAAGAAGGAGCCGGGAGAGACTCTGTCGTGCAGTAAGCACACGGATGGCAAGATGATCCAGGAGAATATTTTCGCTAATAGGTACGGAGACGACCCTGGAGAGCAGCTGATGGACCCTGAGCTGCAGGAACTCTTCAATGAACTCACCAACATCTCTGTGCCTCCCATGAGTGACCTGGAGCTGGAGAATATGATCAATGCCACCATTAAGCAGGATGACCCGTTTAACATCGACTTGGGTCAGCAAAGCCAGAGGGCCACACCCAGGCCCTCGGTGCCCATGGAGAAGATAGTGATCAAAAGCGAGTACTCGCCTGGCCTGACTCAGGGCCCTGCAGCCTCTCCTCAGCTGAGGCCCCCCTCAGCCGGCCCTACATTCTCCATGGCCAACACTGCCCTTTCAGCTTCATCCCCAGGCCCCACAGTCCCCCAGAGCCAGGCTCAGCCTCAGACAGCATCAGGAGCCAGCCGGGCATTGCCTAACTGGCAGGAGGTATCCCACGCCCAGCAACTCAAACAGATAGCTGCCAGCCGTCAGCAGCACGTCCGGATGCAGCAGCACCAGCCTCCTGCCTGGTCGGCCTTGCCCTCTTCTGCTGGGCCATCCCCTGGTCCATTTGGGCAGGAAAAAATCCCCAGTCCTTCCTTTGGCCAGCAGCCATTCAGCCCACAGGGCTCCCCCATCGCTGGGGTCACTGGAGGCAGCAGCCAGCCGAAAGTAATGGCCAACTATATGTATAAGGCCAGCCCCCCAGCCCAGAGTGGGCACCTGGACGCACTTATGCAGCCAAAGCCTCAGGATCTCAGTCGGAGTTTTATTAACAACCCACACTCAGCCTTGGAGCCCCGGCAGGGCAACACCAAGCCTTTGTTCCACTTTAACTCAGATCAAGCAAACCAGCAGATGCCTTCTGTTTTGCCTTCCCAGAGCAAGCCTTCTCTCCTGCACTACACCCAGCAGCAGCAGCAGCCACAGAGCTCAATCCCAGCACAGCAACAGCAGCAGCAACAGCCACCATCCCAGCCCACCCAGCCTTTATCAAGCCAGCCTTTGCTGAGGTCACCTTTGCCACTTCAGCAAAAGGCGCTGCTTCAGAAGATGCAGAACCCGTCCATCACAGGCCTCGGGTATCAGGCCACCCAACAGCACAGACAGGTAAGGCTTGCTACTCCACACCCAGCCTTCCCAGACGCCATTCAGCTTGGTTGTGGCGCTGTGCTTCCATTCTGCTTGGGTGGAGGCAAGATTAAAGACCAGGAACAGTGGTGGCTTCAGAAGGCTTGGCTCCCTTGGGACGTCAAAGCCGAGGGCTAGAATTTCCTTGTACAGCATTATTGCTGTACAGATTTGTAATGATCAATGGTTCTAGTTTGTTAAGAATGTACATTATCAAACGAAACAAAAATGCTGCATTATAGCTCATGGCATTGGTGATATTTCCAGTTGTCAGTCAGCTTCGGAAATGCTTAATGTTTATTCCTCCCACCGGAAAATTAGCATTAAGTGTGTATGTGGTTCCTGAGTGCCTACCAGAGGCAAGAGGTTGTGACTAACGCTGCGTGTTACAGCAGGACAGGGGCGGTGTTAGGAGTGCGAACTGACTGGTCCTAACCTGCACTGCCGACTGTAATGTCTCAAAATCTAATCTGTCACGATAGACCCTGCCTTGGCACCCCATGGTGCATATGGGCAGAATCTCAGTCCTAAATAAGACTTGATCCCTGTCTCCAAGCCCAATGTGGAGAGGGGACAGGCTTTGAAGACTGTGGTTGCGGGACTAGCTAGACAGACTAATGGTGCGGGAGCACAGAGCTTGGGGTCTTGCCAGCAAGGGAAACCAGGGAAGTACTGAGAAAGTAGTGCCTGAGTTCAGTGTTAAAGGGCGAGCACGTTGTGACGACAGAGAAACAGTCTAGGATTGCATTGCCTCTGGTTCACACAAAGAAGGGTTCAGTTCTACCCTGAAGCGAACAGTCTAAAGAGATAGCTCCATCCTGCAGGGCGCACGCGGATGGACAAGTCCTGATCCCAGAGAGCTTGAAAGAGGAGCTCTTCTTGGAAGAGGGGAGGAGGGACGGAGGAAGGAAGGAAGGGAGGGAGGGAGGGAGGGAGGGAGGAGGAAAAAAGGAGAGAAGAGGGAGGGAAGGGAGGAAGGAGGGAGTATGTAGATTGAATATTGCTTTGCACATGGGAATTGACAGGTCTGCATTTTCAGTTTATGCTCTAAGATACCACATTCCATGTCAAAATAATATTTCAGGAGCTGAGCTGTGACTCAAGCAGTGGAGCACCAGTTTAGCAAGCATGAAGCTCTGAGTTTGAACCCCAGTACCTCAAAAGAAAATGTCAGGACAGTGTGATGGTACAAAACCTAGTTCCAACAGCATTTATAGAGAAGGTTTCCTGGCTGCTGCCTAGCAAGGAATACCTCAGTCAGCACAGATTGTGTCCAAGCTAACCTTTGCCCTAAAACTAGATTCCAGGAGGATTCAAAACCTGTGTATTGAGTAAAGCTTCCATCTCTCGTCCACGTCCGTGCGTGTGTGTGCGTGTGTGTGCGTGCGGTGTGCACATGTGCCAATTATAGACTATGGAGAACAGACTTGGAGTAGACTCATGCATAGTTTATAATATATACATATATGATGTAATTGTTTAAATGCTTCATCCCAGCTTTATAGACTAAGCCAATGATTGTGTAAGTGATGACTCTAAAGTCGTGTGTCTGAGTTTTGAGCGAATATACCAGAGCTCTGTGGTCAAACCGTGTTGCTGTCTCGAAGGCATTTGCCTCTGGGGATGGACATGTTTGGTGACGATGCCATACACAGTTTTCTCTGGGGTGTAGGGTACATTTGGCTGCCAGGATAATAGTCATCCTGTCAGGGTGACAGTTGAACGGAATCAAACTTGCTGCTTTGTTTTGCGTTCACTTGATAATATCAGCTGTGTGTCCAGGAACAGGGCAGAGGATGCTGGAGGTGGCAGGGAAGCTTCCCAAAAGAGCTGGTGGAACACCAAATCAAAGAAAACTGTGACACGACTATGGCTGTGCTTCGATGGTGCTGTGGGATTTTTTTCTCAGAGGGCACTAAAGAAAATAAATACATTGCTTTCCAAGATGATACTTTTGAGACGCGTTTTTCATTTGATGTGCGTATTTCTAAGGTTGTTCGATTCTTTTTTTAAATGTTTTTTATTACTTTATAGTAGTTGTACAGGGGGTTTCATTGTGACATTTCTGTATGTGTATACAATGTACCCTGGTTTGGTTCATCCCCTCCATTGTTCTCCTTCCTCTCCCCGCTTCTTAAAATGGCTTCATCAGGTTTCAGTGCTCCATATTCATACACATGTATAGTAAATACATCGACCATATTCACCCTCTGTTATCCTCTTCATTTGCCCTCCTTAACGTGAGGCCCTCTCCTTAACGTGACCTGTTTTATATTCCTTTCCTTCATTGTTTAAGTGTCTGTCCATGTTGTTGGGTTTTGCTTTGGTATTTTACCTGTAAATATATTGCTGACAGTTTCCAGATCACTGGGACCTAAAGATGACCTTTGGTTTGTGGCATCGAGGGCAAATTGTCAGGTTAGTTTGCTAAGTAAGAGATTGACAATATATATAAAGACCATCGACAATGACCAATCAAATAAGTGTTTTAAAGCGTACATCCACCCCTGGAGCAAGGGTGTCACCAGGAGCCCATTGCATTGCCACCTGAGTTTGGTTGTCACTCTTATTGTCTCATCTAGCCAAGTATTCAATGCAGAGAAGGTGGTTTTAATATTGCCATCTACAGAAGAAAGTAAAAAATGTGTGTTCTCATGCCAGAACAGGTAAATCTTTTACTCATGACCAAAGTCACGACTGGGAGAAGGAATTGAGGATGAGACAGCCCTTAAATTTAGCAACTAAAGCATCCTAAATGAAAATCCTAGTCAAGAACTTTTTCTCCTTGTCATGCTCTGTGTCAAACATAGGATGATTTACTATGGAATTGCTCACTGGAGTCCTTTGGCCTTGGAAATGGTAGCTGTACTGGCTCTCTGCTATAAAATGGTAGATTGAATTTGTTGATCTGTTGCTTGCAGTTTACTGAGCAGATATGCAAAGGTGACCTTGTCTTTCAGAACACTAAACCCAGATAGATTCTCATGCTCAGGGAAGTCTGAAGGTGGGCAATTCCCATAGACCCCCCCCCTTTTCTGTGTACCCACCTCTATTCCCCTCCGTGTGACTGATGCAGCACAAATTGTTTTATGCCCATCTTGACTGGAATAAAAAGTGGTATTTGATGTTTCTGAAAAATGTCTTCAGTGGACTCATCTTGGGAATATTTTAGGGCTTGGCAAATGGAGATACCTCCTGACAATAGTTTTCTTCCCTTCCTCGTTTGAGGGTTATGGGAAAGGATAAGACAGATATGTAACACACGCATTTCTGATTTATTTCAAATCCCGGGTCACTTTTGCAAGTGTGAGAGCCATTGGTTGATCAGGGTTCATGAGGGCTCATGCAAAAGTCCTTACCCCTTTAACCAAACGAGTGAGCTTTCTCACAGTTATATAATCAGTCACTTAAAAGTGTGATTTTTTTCTAACAGTGAATGCATGCAACTTAAGTAGGTTCTATATTTGGTTTAGAATTCTTCCATGTCTAAAACTTCCGGGAGGGCAGGCAGCCAGTGAGTGGATGGTTTGTTTTGACTGAAACATAAATTTGTACATTTCCTCCTTAGTTTAGAGCCAAGCTCCACAGTCACACATTAAGAACCTCACCCCTCTACCCAGCCACGCTTATCTTTCACTACTCCACGCCAGCCCTTGCTGGATTCAGCAAGTACCATGTCCTTTCCTGCATACATCTCATCTTAAAGTTGAACTCTGAGAAAATTGTTTTTGAAATCATCTGTGTGTGGATGAGAAATCACTGTATCTCTTACAGGCCAACAGTACTTTTAAATTTTTATTATTACCAATGACAGTGAGAGAGGAGATAGAGACCTTGCCTCAGCTAAAATGCCTTGTCCAAGGGGAAATCATCTTGAACTTTTGCAAAGCTGCCACATCCAAACCCTGCCCCTGCTGAATCCAGTTATGGTAGTGCCAGGTTTGGGTTTAAAGACTGGAACCAGGTTCAAGGAAGTTAGGAACTTTTGTAAAGGACCAAACACAAAAGCTAAACTGTCTTAAAGATGCTCAGAAACCATCAGTATACTCAAGGGTGGTGACAAAGCTTGGGTCAAAGGTGACATGAATTTTGGAGTGGCTGGAATAGAGATCCAGAGAAGACAGGTGACCACGAGGAATGAAGTGTGGCCACTGGTGAATTCATTATTATGTACCTTTATGAATTCATTATTATGGTCGCATCTTGGCAAGAAGGAAAACAGTGGTACTGAGGTTTGATCTCAGGGTCTCATGCTTGCTGAGCAGGTGGTCTACCACTTGAACCAGGCCTCCAGTCCTTTTTGGCTTTAGTTATTTTTCAAGTCATGCCCTGTGTTTTTGCCCAAGCCAGCCTTGGACCACAATCCTCCTGATCTCCACCTCCCAAGTGGCTGGGATTATGGATGTGTACCACTGTTCCCTGTGGGTAATTTAATTTTTAATGCAAAAAAATTATGGAGTTCCGTTGGGTTTATAAAATGGTAAATAAAATGTGTCTGTTCCTTAGCATCTTCTGAGTTACTGTCAGGGTGAAACTGATTCCTGTATTCTTCCACTCATGTGAGGAGCATGCATCATTCACCTTCAAGGTGTCACAAAGTGGGGATTGAAGAGTCAACGACACTCTCTTCACTGACTTTATCAATCGGGAAAGCACAGTCCCTGTTCCTCAACGAGCTTGTGATCTGAAGGAGGTATTTGTCACTCCCTGTAGTCCCAAGGAAAAAAACACTACTTTGTCCTAATTCTTAACAGCCCACTCTATGGGTTGAGAAAAATCACGGGGACATTTTCCCTAAGTCAGCGAGGCCAAATTTTGTTTTTGTTTTTGCAGTACTGGGGTTCGAACTCAGGACTTTGCCCTCACTGCACAGGCACTCTACCACTTAAGCCATTCTGCCAACCCCCTTTGCTCTGGTTATTTTGGAGATAGGGTCTCACTTCTTGTCCTGGACCATAATCCTTCTATTTTAAGCGTCC